TCTATCTATCTATCTATCTATCTATCTATCTATCTATCTATCTATCTATCTATCTATCTATCTATCTATCTATCCCCTTACGTCTGGGTGGTCCCCGCCGTGGTCCTCTAGTGGCTAAGGTACTCGGCTGCTGACCCACAGGTCGCGAGAACGAATCCCGCCTGCCCCGGATGCATTTTCGGTGAAGGCGAAAGTGCGGTAAGCCCGTGTGCTCAGATTTGGGTGCATGTTAAAGAACCCGAGGTGGTCGAAACTTTTGGAGCCCTCCACTATGGCGTCTCTCACAATCATATGGTGGCTTTTGGGCGTTAAACTCAACTTATAAATCAGTCAACGTCTGGGTGCCCTCGTGATGGATGACCCCCTTAACTTGGCGTGAACCAAAATTAGTATGGGATGGTAATGGTTTGACGTTTATGACGCGCTGGTCAAGACATCAATAATGTCCCATTCCCGTCGCGTACATCGTAGAACACTTCCCGCCAGACAGTGGCACATACCTGCGGGCGTGTATGTGTCACTGGTATACGGGTATGTGCCACGGGTGATTGACACTTAGTATCTACTGAAGAATGACGAGAACACGCATGGGAAGTTTCAACACGTGAGCGTTAAGAAAAACCTGACATCGGCAGCGTGTACCCGACGAACGCAAAGAATGAAGGTTGGGGTCACAGCAGGAATCAAACCAAAACATTCTGCGTGGCAATCAAGCATTCTACCACAGAGCCACGCCAGGTCTCGGAGCAACTTTTCAAATTTACCCTAACTTTCGTGAAACGCCAATTGTGCTTGCAGTGCTGGCTATCCAATTTTATAAACAATACATGTGTACTCCCATGATACAGCCGTCATGTCGGGTTAACGTCAATTTGTGTTAGGTGACATGTGCTGAACTTGATATATGTATCAATGTCCAGGGCTACCATCCTCGCGAGCACTAGTGCTTCATATCACGTTATCGCTTCTGGTGTTGCTAGTATACTCATGTTTTTCTTGGCATCACTGTGCAAGGGCAAACAACTGGTTATGTAAACATCTGCAACTCTTCAACATATGTCTGCATGTGCAACATGTATACATATATTAAGCGTCATTTCATGACGCGTGTGTGACTTTCTTTGATGAGACGTAGGAGGTACGAAGTTTGTTCAAGTACCTTATTAAAGGGGGCCCGAAAATAAGCCACACCAAGTTCGAAGGCGATAGGGTAGTTTCTTTCTCGCCTTCACTAACCTTCTTACCCCAGGTATCTCCTCCTCGCCACTTATGTCTTCTTAAAACACGTGCAATGTCAGAACTGATCTATATGTGGGGCTTAACGTCCCGAAACCACGATATGATTATGAGAGACGCCGTAGTGGAAGGCTCCGGAAATTTTGATTACCTGGGGTTCTTTAACGTGCACCCAAATCTGGGCACACGGGCCTACAGCATTTCCGCCTCCATCGAAAGTGCAGCAGCCGCCACCGGGAATCGATCCCGCGACCTGCGGTTCAGCAGCCGAGTGCCTTAGCCACTAGACCAACGTGGCGGGGCTGCAATGTCAGAACTAAGAATTGAGCTAGTCAGGATTTCGCACATTCTTGACTACACACTGCTAGCTCCACTTGCGCAGGCGCAAACGCAGAAATCGAAGAGAATTAACTATATCGCGCTCGATAGCCACGCGAGGCAAGGCAGAAAATAGGTGACAGTTCACAGCAGATATATCTCGGATATCGAACAATCGAGATCTCGTTCCATATTTACGTCACGGGAATGAACCGTTGGCGTAGCGAATGGTGCCGCAAAGACGTGGAATGCCATGATAGATTAACGCACTCGTTTCGCATTTTCGGAGCTTGTTTAGAAGCTTCTTAAGAGTTTTACACGTGGAACGTCATGATACAAGGAATCAAACAACTATTCTATTTTCTGAGGAGTTTTATGTTGGTGAAATGTCTGATAATGTCCGCTATAGTGTCCGCTTGCTAGTTCCACCGTGTTCTGGTGAAGTTACGAAATTCTAGCTGCCACTCGCACACTGTTTGACGATTCTCTAGCGCGGAGTCCCTGCTTCAATCTTTACTCTCTTTCTATTTTTTGGTATGGAAATCACTGCGCTCTTCACTTTTCTCGCTTACAAAGTCGAGGCAAGCCAGTGAGAAAAGCTCCCGTATACGTTAAAAATGCATCCGTTCCTCCCCTCACTCTCACAGAAAGCTTTCAGGGTCGAGAAAAGAGAGTTCTCGCGGGGCTCTCATGAGTAGGTGGTCCGTTGGGATCTTGAGCCGCATGCTTTGCGTTCCGGGGCGCGGAGATCCGTTCGCGCTTCCTCGCTTTGTTCCCCGTGGCAGCACTCCAAGTCGGAACTCCGGCGCGCGCATTCGTTGTGCCCGCACTTCCTCTCGTGCGCGAAACGATCTGAGGAAGCGAATGGGTTGGACTCGTTCGCATTGTTCGCCGCGCAGGAAGCGAAAAAGCGTTAATCTCGAGCATGCGCATTGCGTATCTTTCTCTTTGTTGCACGTACGGACGCGGCCACATACCATATGGCAGCGCGAAAGTGCCCGCCCGATTGTAAGGCACCTTCATTGGCTCTATTGTGCATGGGCCTTGAAGTCCCTAGTGTGTAGTGGAAATGCTCGCATGCATTTCTACCTCGTTGTATCCTATTTCTTTCCTGGAAAACGCCTATCGACATGATTTGAAGTTTTCGACATGAATGTTGCCTGCTCTCTCCCAGTGCGTTTATAGCTTTTAGTCCCTTAAATATTTTAGTCCATTTTAGTTCCTTGGAGCTTTTAGTCTTTTTTAGTCCCTTTGCGTGGGATAGTAAACCGGACTTGCGTTGGGTTGACCATCTTGTCTCTCCTTTCTTTTCCTCCTCCTTTATTAACAGAGGCGTATGCACGGGGGACGCACCCCCTCCCTCCACAAGACCGCCTCTTTGCTCTGCGCATTAATCATGAAGGCCTCATCGGGAGTGAATTGGGAAGAGAGGTGCGTGGAAGAGGGGAGGGGTTAAATGGAAGGGGGATGTCACACAGTTATACCCTCTCCTTCTCCAAACCCTAATAGAAAACACTGCGCTCACCTGTGTTGATCGACGTTGAAAGCATGTACATTATACTTTTTTCCCTTTTATTTTCATTAGTTTACAAGCACTCTGTTGTAACCAATAAGGCTATTCTACCGAGTCATAATTATCACAAGCGTCTGTTCAATGAACACCTTGGTGCCCTCGTGTCACAGCTTGACGTATACCGCTGCACTTTCTCGTCTTTTGGTGGTTAACGGAGCACACAGAAAATTTATGCAGCAGCGGATTCGAACCAGCAGTCGTGCTCCTTTATTATTCTTAACTTTCCTCGTTGTAAGTATGTCATTCATGGCCGTAGCGAAGGAGAGGGGCGAGTTGGGGGTTCAAAACACCTCGAACTATTTCAATGATGCTGGCGTATGTATACACGCACACGTACGAACGCACGCGCGAACACGCATTGAGCTTGGTTGAACCCCTCCCCCCCCCCCCCTCCTTTTTACCGAAAAAAAAAATTCTGGCTACGCCCTTGATGTCGTTTAATTCTAAAGTAGAGCCTCAGTGAAAAAAAAAAACTACCCAGAGACCGGGAGGATTCGGAACACAAGTCAGGGACGATCACTCCGCATACAAAATGATTTCGAATGCGAAGTATACCGCGTAGGAAGAGTAGTGGTCGCATTCCAGCACATGCAAGTATGCAAAACAGATGCAGCATAAATGTCTGCGTTCACCAAATCCTTTGGTAGAAACCTGTATATGTAATGTAAAAATTAACATAGCAAAGAAAATAAAAAAGAAGAAAAAGAAGATAAATACCATTCCTGCACATGAGTTCAGCTAGTGAAGAATATAAAGAAAGCTCGGGGGCTCATGTTTCGCAGCTGTTCATATATCAACGAGATTTCACAAAATCAGATGCATAAACAGGCGCCAAACACTGTTCTTATCAGTCCATGTCATTCGTACAGCGTCAGAAGTTGAGTCGAAGAAGTGTCGGAAATGATAGATTGAAATCTGGAAGTAAAATCAGCGTATAGCCGAGCTGTTTTGCAGCTCGTCTTGTACACAAGTGCATGTATGCGAGATACGAATAAACATTTATGAGACAACCATTGTTGCAGTTTGAGGCAGGAGTGTTGCGTTCGCAAACAGCCCGAAAATAATTTGCAAATTGATTCTGGAAAGTTTCAAATGTGCCATAGCGGTGCATAATGTCACTCGGCACTTCGCTGCTGCATTGTTTTCGCGTGCATGCATCTTCTCGTAGCAGCTTTGAATTATTGTGCTGTTCCTTTTATGAAAATAGTTAGTGAGTGGTTTAGTTAGTTAGTGAGTCAGTCAATTAATTTATAATCCCATCAATCAATCAACTAGTTAGTAAAATTGTTAGTTGGTTAGTTAGTTAGTTAGTTAGTTAGTTAGTTAGTTAGTTAGTTAGTTAGTTAGTTAGTTAGTTAAGTTGTTCTAGCACTTCCAACTCAACGTTCCCTTGTGTTTTCTGCCCCACCGTGGGGGTCTAGTGGCTAAGGTACTCGACTGCTGACCCGCATGTCGCGGGATCCAATCCCGGCTGCGGTGGCTGCATTTCCGATGGAGGTGGAAATGTAGGCCCGCGTGCTCAGATTTGGGTGCACGTTAAAGAACCCCAGGTGATCGAAACTTCCGGAGCCCTCCGCTACGGCGTCCCTCATAATCAAATGATGATTTTGGGACGTTAAACCCCACATATCAATCAATCAATATTTGTGTTTTCTTCCGCGCTATTACGTTTCTGATCATGGGGCATCAACTAGGCTGATATACCACCAATTTAACTAACATCCCCGCCTACCTAAGGTGAATCGGCAATCACGTGGCAACGAATGTAGCTGTACAGTACGGTCAGCGTTATCTTTAACACATTTTTTTTCTTCGTACCATATGAGATCAAACAGCCATTTATTCATTGTACTGCTCTCGGACACACGTTCAGGTCAGTCGCAGCTCGGCGGGCAGCCTGTACCTGAAGAAGGCAGACCTGAAGACGGAAGGCCACTACACGTGTGAGGTGTCGGCCGATGCGCCCTCTTTCGAGACCGTCCGTGCGGAGAAGGAGCTAAGGGTGTACGGTGAGTGTACAGCGACGTCACATCTCAAGATAGTGCTGCAAAAAAAAAGGGGGGGGGGGGGGTAGGGGGACTGAATCTTGGTGAAGGCTCGAACAGAGGTAACAAACAACTGTGATAATTGCCAGTAGCATAAATGGTACGCGAATGATTTAGACGAATGGATTTATTAGTGTTTTTAATAAATTGGTGAACGTCGATACCTTGACCGAGCTCTCTTTTTACATTCATGCTGTGCATTTCCTTAGTTATGTTGGAAGACACAAAAATTCGAGTTATCACTGTGATAGATTCTTAAAGTGCTACAGAAACTGTATTATTAATCCTAAAGTATTACCATTCCTAAATGTTTATTGTGTAGCGAAAACTTTCTCATGATTATTTTCATACGAAGTTTGGAGTTAGGGAAATAATGCAGAGAGTCAGTATGAGTGTCAACCTGTTGCGGATGACTGCACTCTACAAACGTGTAGTGGTGCTCGTTAGCAAATCTCACTTATGAATAACCCCTCAAGCCTTGACAGTGGGCAGTGCTTGTTAGCATCCTTAATGTCTAGTAAGCGGCACGTTAGATAACGTCAAAGCATGAGGGGTGAGGAAATAGCGAGTTTTAAAACTGAATTGAATCGAATAGTGACGACATCAAATCGAACACGATTACAAACTTACTACTGTTTGGGTACCTTTTGATTTGTAAAGTGATCATTTTCAAAAGTAGCCCTGGACAGATTAGGTGAGAATATTCAAGACAGCCCAAGAATTCTCCAACATTATATTAGATACAGTCACATACATTAAAAAATGACCATTATATGGCTAGTTTTAACCGACAAAATACTAGAAAATTTTAAACGTAGTCAAACTCATATACTGTCGCGGTTAGAACCTTCGAAACATTTTGTAAGTGCATGCTGAAATGCAGCAGTGGCTACAGTATTCAAGTTGGTGCTCTATCGAGAGCTTTTAAATAAAGCTCACGCATAAATATTAAGTGATTTTCATAAGTTAACGTCACCATCAATGTCATGGTGAAGACAGTGGATTGATGAAAATGTCGTTTAAGCGACACTGGGGGTTAAAGCGAAACGCCTTCGTACCGCTATCATAATATAGCATCAATAGTCCCGTAAGTACACGCATTACATGCACAATTTAATTTTAAAGACAAGGTAATTTACTCATCGCTTTCCCAATATCTTGTTTCTTCTAGCGTTTTTTGTTGTTGATAAATATTCAAAAATATTGAGTATTGCAAATACGCACTATTTGATCCGGCTACCAAATTAAATAGAAAGTCATCCAATTCGGTATTAGAAATTTGTGAATATTTTTATACCCTTTCAAAGCAGCAATATATTATTGATACATAATACATAGTACTAATTGACATGTGATGTTGTTCAGAGTCGAGTTCGTTCTCTAGATACATGCATTCTTTTCTGGTGTATAGCTCAAAGACAGAAAAACCGTCACTGATTACTGAAATAACTTACCGCGTGAGATACACCAACAACAACAAAAAAAAAAAAGAATGAGATATCAGAACGTTCTGTCCCGTCTCTCCCTTTTATCTTTTACAGTGAGTTCATCCTTTATCCCGACTAAACGTTGTGCAACAAGGTTTTTGTGTTTGCTGATCTGTTACTTCAGTGGCGAGACAACACAGCTCACTATGCGCAGTAGTTTCCTTTCATTTACGAAAGAAGATCAAACCAACGGCTTCCACACTTTCTGGACGCCATTTTTTTGTTTTCTCCAAATTTTTCACTTTTATGTGCCTTGTATTTTCTTTGTAGTGCTGCCCAAGAAAGGTCCTGTGATTCGTGGTACTAAAGCCCACTATAGGATTGGAGACGTGGTTAATGTCACGTGCCACGCGAGCGCGACAAAGCCACCAGCTGTCCTGAAGTGGTACATCAACGGGGACCAGGTGAGTGTCGTGACTACAAGGGCATTACGTCACCTTGCATGTCACAGTGGCTTATTGTTATTGAGGATGTATTTATTCTTGAGAAAGTAATGTATTTATTACTTTCATTGGCGCGAGAGAGGAGTGTTTTTTTTTCTTGATCACTGATGCCTAATTTACACTTCGTTCTTAAACGTTCATCTTTCGTTATGCGCAGGTTCGTCCCGAGTACGAGACGATGTACCCAATCTTTCGCGACCGGGACCACTTGTACCACTCGTCCTTGGGGTTGACCTTCAAGACCGAGCCCGGACACTTCGCTTACGACACCATGAAGCTCAAGTGTACCGCTACAGTGTCTGGAGCGTACTCGCTGTCCAGCGAGAAGATCGTAGCAGCTGCGGACGCTAAACGCACCGGTAGGCTCCAGTTTGCTACCCTGTATTGAAGAAGGAAAAAGTGGGTTAAATGAATGAGTGAAAAGAGGAGTTTGCGACATCAGTCAAAAGAAAAAGTAAAAAGTGGGTGACTGGTGTGTCGTCTTAGTACGCATAACAACATTGTCCGCGGACAGTTACAGTTTGTTGCTCTGTTCGGTTGCTTGGAAAAACCGCAACAGTGCTCTCATGGTGGCCGGTGTTGCAGACCCAGTAAGCTAAGGCCCAAGGATTTTGTTTTTTGTGAGAGCATGGTTTCCAAGCTGGCCTAGTGCTTCTTAGAGGACCGCTGTTTTGCAGTTAGAGTGGGCGCAGTCTGAGAGACGGTGGCCCACCGTTTCATTGCACCCGCATGCCAAGTAGATAGCAAGAACACCATTCATAATCATCATCATCACTCTGACTACGCCCACTGCAGGACAAAAGCCTCTTCCCATGTTCCGCCAGTCTATGTGGTCCTGTGCTTGCCGCTGCCACATTGTACTCGCAAACTTTCTAATCTCATCTGCCCACATAACTTTGTCTCCCCTTCAACCGCTTGCCATCTCTTGGAATACAGTCTGTGATCATCAAAGACCAGCGGTTATCTTGCGCTACCTATGACTATATTTTTTCTTGATTTCGACTATCAGGTCCTTAACACACCTTTGTTTCCCGGTACACTCTGCTCTCTTTTTTGTCCCTTAGGGTTGCACCTATCATTTTCCTTTCCATTGCTCGCTCTGTCGTCCTCAACTCAAGTTGAACCCTCTTTATAATCCTCCAGGGTTCTGCTCCGTAGGTTAGGACCGGTAAGATGCAGCTGTTATATATCTTCCTTTTGAGGGATAGAGGCAATCTACCATTCATGATTTGAGAATGCTCGCCGAGTGTGTTCCACCCCATTCTTAATCTTTTAGTTACTGCAATCTCGTGGTTCGGCTCTGCGGTTGCTACCTGTCCTAAGTAGACGTACTCTTTTACAACTTCAAGTGCACTGCTACCTATCTCGAAGCGCTGTTCTCTTCCGAGGTTGTTTTACATTACTTTTCTTTTCTGCAGAATAACTTTAAGACATGTGTCTTCTCTCCTTGTATTCACCAACAATGAAGTGCACCATCACTGCACATAAACTTGATTCCTCCTCACCGTGATGGTGCAGCAGTTATGGCGCTCGGCTGCTGGTCGCGGCTTCAATCCTGGCCGCGGTGGCTCCATTTCATAGGCTGCAAAATGTTAGAGGCACGTGTTCTCTGCGATGTCAGCGCGTGTTAAAGAACACCTGGCTGTCGAAACTTCCGTAGCCCTCTACTACGCCGTGCCTCATAATAATATCGTAGTTTTGCCATGTAAGACCACATATATTAGAAAGTAATTAAACTTGACTCCTCCTGCGAGACACTTAAAAACTTCATTTTAGTGCCATGCATTCATTGTGCAGCATCTAGGAACATAGATTTATTGTGCGATCCTTGATGGCTGCCTTTTTCCGAGAGGATGTGATGCTCGACGTCGCCAGACTTATCAAGACCTTCCCATTTTTTTGAACGAAACTTGCATTTGTAGACATCTTTTTGTGCTACTACTTATTAATGTCAATTTAGTGTTATTTGTACACTTTCTTTCCTTTTATACCCTCTTTTTTTCTTCCATCTTAATTTCCTTTATAAACGATTTTGCCGAACTAGTAGGGAGGCGTTTTGCCCTTTCATATGGCAGTTGTTAGCCTGCTTCCTCCTTCAATTTTATCTGTGTCCGTGTGTTTTGGGGTATTCGAATAAAATAATAATAGTAATTCCCAAAGTGTAGGCAATAAATACCTACCAATGACAAATTGCAAGGATCGGGGACCAAGCCCCAGCGAAGTTAGGGAAGATTATTCTTATACACAAACTTTTTTGTCGTTGTTCTGCTTTGCCTTGAGAGAGACAAAAATGTTGTCCGCTAAGGAATCACCGGAATCTGAAGCTGAAATTCTTCCATAGGGTCTGAAGACGACAAGCCATCCATAACTGGCGCCCAAGAAAGCTACCATGTGGGCGACTTGGTTAATGTGACCTGCAGTTACTCGCGCTACGGACGCCCCGTTGACCTACAGTGGCATCTCAATGACAAAGAGGTACGTTGACAGTATAACTTTTTTTTTACGTTATGCTTGTTAAACCACATTCCGTACTGTTCCTTGCGAGAACTAACAAGAAACAACACAAGAAATGTTATCCTTAACGAAGAAAAATGAGGCCATAAAATTCCCCTCCTCTCGTCCATGCTATCCTATGTTATAGCGTGTTTTCCTTGTTTTGTTTTATCCATTACTCTTTTTTTCTCTTTACATTTATATTTCTTTTCCGCTTCCCCAGTGCAGCGTTGCAAAGTGGAAATTTTCTTGTTAACCTCGCTGCCTTGCGCTTAACCTCTCTCTTTCTCTTTTTCTCTTTCGTTGAGTTACGCTCACCTTGATTTATGTTCCAAAATTTTTTGCCTTTAAGCTGTGGGTCTTTGATAGAAACAGAGGCGTTTTGAAGTCCGCTATACGAGAGTTAGTTAGGTGCACATTAGGCACGTTTTAATCGAAATTTTACAAAAGATGCTGAATGCGGCATCCTTTCAATGCTTCCATCTCAACACACTAAGCAGCGCAAGTTGGTATGGTGGCATAACAAAACCAGGGCACAGAAAACTCAGACCATGAAAAGAAGAGTACAGTACTTTACCAATATTCTCCTGCGAGGTGTTGTGTCCTTCCTTATACGTTCGCATAATTTGTTTTATTAGCAGGAAAAAAAAAACGACAGTGACGTGAGGAAAATGGTAAGAAGTTGAACACTGAGCAACAAGACAGAAGGCTCTTGGAAGAGAGAGAGAGAGAGATCAAAAGAAAAATGCAGGGGGGTTAACCAGACGCCAGTATCAGGAGTAGACTCTTGGAAACCTTGAAGTGGTATTGTATGTAACTAGTCAAACTTCATTTTGTTACCGATGTTACCAAGGCAACGTTTCGTTTTGTTGAGCTGGAGAACAAAAAGAAAAGAAGAACAATTAGTTCTTCGTTACTTAATAGTTTCCCCAAAGAACAGTTTATGGTAAAAACGAGTACATTTATTATATGCCCTATAGGGGCCATATAGCCAAAGAGTGCCCCTGGGGCCACTCCTTGGCTCTGATGAGTCACTGCCCTGGTCGAGTTTGTTACGAGAAGAGAACCATAGATTATTCTTCGAGTGCTTAAGCCATGTCTTATGACCATGGTGCTCGTGTCACACGTGATGCCACAAAATTCGGCTTCACAGGTGTCCACTCGGTACCTGGTCCACTACCCACTCCGGCGGTTAGAGTCCGGCCGCCAAGAGATGTCGCTGGGCCTGCGGTTCACCGTGCGTCCCGGACACTTCGCGCGCGACGAGATGCGAATCAAGTGCACGGCCACGCTTCAGAACGACGGCAAGGGGCCGCCATCGGTGACGTCGTCTTCCGCCTCGCCCAGGGACGGCACTCACTCAGAAAAGGAGTTCATGCTAGGCAGCAGCAGCCACCGCTCGTCGGGACTGCACGTCTCGGGCCACTATGACGCCGCAGGTGTGTACTTCTGCGGCTCTTTGTCTATTGGATGGTATCACAGCATGAGTCTTCCCTAAGGGAAGCGGGTTAGGGGGAGACAGAAGGTTAGGTGGGCAGATGAGATTAAGAAGTTTGCGGGTATAAATTGGCAGCAGCAAGCACAGGACCGGGCTAACTGGCGGAACATGGGAGAGGCCTTTGTCCTGCAGTGGACGTTGTCAGGCTGATGATGATGATGATGATGATGATGATGATGATGATGGCAGCATGAGTCTTCATATATAGCCTGATATACTACACTAAGCGTTATCAAGGACATTAGAAATATGAAGCTAGGCGATTAGAAGGCACGCTAAGTGTTTGAATTTACCGCGAACACAGCGTCCGCCCAAACGTCTTCAGTCTGTCAGCTGCTTGCGCTTCCTTTCACTAAAAGGTCTTCTTTTGGAAGTACATTGCTTAACAACTTACGCTCTGAGTACCCTGTGTTTATCCTGACAGCTTCATCACTCATTTATCCGCCACAGTGTCGATTCAGAAGAAAAGTGAATGCTCTCCCTGCTGAACTAGATGTAAACAGTACGACTTCTTGTGTACGTGCAAACGAGATTGTGCGCAAACGAGATTGAAGACGCTATTATTGGGGCAGTGGACAATCTAGAATTATTAGCTGTAATAAAACTCCCGCAAATAGTGCGAAAGCCGATGCGCCAGCTTCGAACAGAAAGGATGTTATAAAAGCCTGCGTATTTTCACGTGTCGACGCAGTACAAAATACACTGCTCCGAGTCCCTGACGCAATTGTGCTCCTTTACATAGTGTAGAATGCTTAAATTTGGACGCTTGCCTTTGGCTAAATGAGCAGTTCTTCGTGAGGAATATTATGGAAAGAAACCTCTTTCTGACTTCACTTGTTTTCTTTCACTTCATCTCTCTATCCTTGTCTACTTCTTTCTTTTCTTTTTTTTTTCTGTGTCGGGTAGTGAAGCGGCCGTTTTGTGCTTACGCTCTCCTAATTTCTCGTTTATGTTCCTAACATAATTTCAGATATCTTATTTTTCGCTGTGTTTCTTTTTCTGTGTAGCTGCAACCTCCACAAACATTCCTAATATTTCGGATGGTACTCTTTTCAGCAATGGGCAGCAACGGGTCACCTCCGACGGCTGTACACGGCATGGATCATACAAAGCTGTGCTGTTACGTTGTTCGTGGTGTGTGCTCTATGAGCATGATGCCGCAGCGACAAGTTGGATCCTGCTATCTACCGTTATCTGTCGCTCCATCAACCTTGTTGGCGGTTTGGGAAGTATCCAGTTACGACACGCGACAACAGTCCATTCGCGTCGACTTGACGTGCACCGTGACACTGGAGTGGAACGATGTTGTGTATATTATTCAGTGCCTTGCAGTCTTCGCACGAAGATTGTTGACGAACAAAACAACACTTATTCGTGATATATCGCCCGTATTAATATATTATTCGATAGCTGCGGTATTCGGCCGCAGGCGTAGTTCTTGACATAATATATTAATATGAACAGCCATTACTTTTTCCACGTCTTATAATCAAACAGAAAGTCACGTTAGTTTGAGGACGCGTCAGTGCGATTTTAAAATAGTTTATAATGCATTAAGAGCAGGGGTTTGCTCAATGTCTCTCTAACCAGAATGTTTGTTCATTCTATTTCTCGCTAATATTTAATCCCTAAAGCTATCCATAAAAACCGCCACTTTTGGTCGGTATTCCTTCTTCAAAAGCTGCTTCTTTTCACTTAATCGAGATAAGACCTAATTTGTTAACTCGCCGCTAGGATGACCGAATGCTCGAAGCCCTTGCGTTGGTGATTGTTTTGTGACAGAATGACGTTTTATTGGCTCTCATGCATGCGGATAAAATGCGAAAGATACAGAGGGATTTATATTGAGCCATTGTGCGACTATCTATCGATTTTTATTGTGGCCAGCCACAGAAACCAATCCTGTCACATGTTAATGGCATAAACAAATGAGAACCAAGGTAAATTTGCTTTTATCGCTTACATTTTAACTGCATTTAGAATCCGCACTTACTTCGCCGTCACTTAGTCGATCTGTATATTCTCACCGTTTCTTCCACTTGCCGTTATGTCTGTATATATGAGCATATTGATTGAAACACAATGTTGCTGATGGCAGCTATTCATTGAGCGTGCACAGTGCATGGTCAACACGTGCGCTACCGACATTTCGCATATTCAGCTATCTGAATACTCATCCAAAGTTTCAACACTAAATATACATATGTGGATGTCTACATAAAAAAAAGCCATCTTTTAATTTGCGGGTGTATGCATTACTCTGTTTACAAATTTATCTCGCCACCATAAGCATCCGAATACGTTGATTAACAGTAATTGCTCAATGCATTTGCATTTCTGTATCTCTAAGAAATTAATTTTCGTAAGCAATAACCACAATCACTGCGAGACGCTATAGACTTGTAACATTTCTTTGCTATATGTTATGCCTTCTCTGCATCACATCTGTACCAGAGTTTTAAGGTCACACCTAAATAAATATAACTACGTACTTTACTCATTCTCATGCATGACGTTAAATGCCGGTGGCTTGCATGACGTTTGTGAAATGCAACGATTGACAAATTCGTGAAAGACGCACAACCCCTCTGTGAAAAAGCATGAAGTTAGTTTTATATTCGAGAAACATTGGCTGAAGTTCAACTTCGGTAAACCTCGTTCTCGCGAGGAAAATGTGTGTTTGGTTTGTCTTTGCAACGACTATGTACACAGTGTTTTAAGCTTTGTCCTCGTGACGTGGTACAGCAGCGGCGAGGTTCCGAGCATGTGCAGTGGCGATGCATATCCGGAGGGAACAACGAGGCATGACGTCAAGCCTCCCAAACTTGCACCCTTGCCGCTCAAGGTCATCGAAACGCGATGAATGGCTTTGACAGACATGGCGTAGTAGAGCTTTCACTCTAAAAGACGCCTTGGGTGGTCGGCAAGACAACTCAGCCTAGACTTTTCGATTCATAGACCATTTCATCGTTCACTCCTACACTTTCTTAAAGGATCAATTTCGTTACTACACCGTTGGCGCCTAAGTACGAGCTTTCAAAATGAAACAGATAACTTTGTTTTTTTAACAACATACCTTTGTTACAGTAATGTTAGTATGAAGTTGCTTTACTTTAGCCAATGTTGTTGCATAGGATTGTAATGTACGTCGAGTGATCTGATAATTGAGTCAAACCGTCATTTTTTCATTATCCACCATTTTACCACCTAATTTTAGGAAGGAGTGGGACTTGGGACTCGTAATCGACTAGGGCTGCGTATACACAGTAAATGCGTTATACCTGCAACAACCTACAGATCCCGTATTTGTAATGTAGCAATGAATCTCGAATAGAAACCAGGGAATGGGCATGGAGAGATGGTAATGAAAATGCAAGAAAAGTACGGTGACAGATGAGAGAGTCAACGGCTGTAGTTATAGAAAGAAGAAATAATTTAGCAATACATGTGCTCCCCTCCGTTCATTTCTCGCAATCGTTTCGACGACATTCCCTTTTTGTCGTTTCTTCACCCCGTCGAGTTCGTTAGAGCGAGTATTACTGTACGTGAATTCAGGTATACTCTGTGAAAAGGTAAAGGTTACGTCATTCGGATACCGAAGGTTATGGGTTAGATCCCGGCCACGGAGCTTGCATTTCGGTGGCGGTGAAATGTCAGAAGCCCGTGCACTGCAGAAGACCGTGCATTGTGCGATGATTTATTGATTGATTTGTGGAGTTAAACGTCCCAAAACCACCACATGATTATTAGAGACGCCGTAGTGGAGGGCTCCAAAAATTTCAGTCAGATGGAGCTCTTTAACATGCACCCAAATCTGAACACACGTGTCTACAACATTTCTGCCTCCATCGGAAACGCAGCCGCCGCAGCCGGGATTTGATCCCGCGACCTGCGGTTCAGCAGCCGAGTACCTTAGCTACTAGATCACCGCGGCGGGGCAGTGTGCGATGTCAGTGCATAGTAAAGAACATCAGATGGTCGAAGTTACTGGAGCCCCTCTACTATTGCTTGCCTCATAATACCGTTGTTTTTTAGGTATAACACCAGATATTATCATGAGTGGAAGGAACAAAATAAATAACCGATAAATGTGTGAACAAACTTCCGTGAACAAATTACTCTAAACAAGGGGACCATATTCTCGGGAAACTATCGTTCTATGCGTCTGTTTGGTTCTTTAAGGCAGTGTTATATCATAAATTTTCATTACTTCCGCACGTGGGTTCGACCTTTGCAGCGCCTCAGGAAATGTTGCAGAAAACGCGACCAGAACGCGAAGCAATTCATCGCGCAGTCGCCCAAGGCAGCGCCATTAATTTCTGCCGCAAAGCGGCGGCTGCATTTGCCTGCCCCTTGGTGATAGAGCAAAGAAGAGCTTTAATATCCGGTGCGCTTGGTCTTTAAGAAAAAACCACGCCTATTTATTGCAGCCGGAGAATATCTGGGGCTCTTCGCTTCCAAGCCTCCTCTTCTTGACTTTTGAATACCCTGAAATCAAATAATGTTTAGCGGCTGTTATGGCCATTTGGAAGGCTTCGGACATTTAAACTATTCGGTATTATTTAACGTGCACTAACATCGTGTAGCGCACGGATCTCCAGCACTTCGCATCTATCGAAATGCAACTGCCAGGACCGGAATGAAATCCACGACCTTTGGCCAAGCAGCTGAGTACCGTAGCCCCTACACCATCGAGGCGGACTCTATCATCTAATTCGATCTAGCTAGCTCGATTACGTATGATTCGGAGGTCATGGGTTTGGTGCCGCCAGTGGCGGTCACATTTCGGTGAAGTAAAAAAAATCACAGCATATCCACGGAGTGAATGATGATTGGTGGGGCGCAGCGTTCGTCAGTCTGTCCATTTGTTCTTGCGTCCGCCTATCTGTGTGATCCTTGGTGCATCCGTCCGTTTGTTCATTCGTCTGTCTGTCCGTCCATCTCTTTTTGCGGCCATCCCTCTGTCTGTTCGTCCGTGCGTGTGTCAGTCTGTTCGTCCG